TTAAGATCTAACGTCAAAAGCGCCTGTGTGTTTGTATTGTTCGCGTCGCGCTGACCTTAGTTGCTGCCCGGCCGGGGCCGACTAACGGTGGCTGGCAACAGCTGTAGATGCGGTCACGTGACGCCCTGGGGCGTCCTGGCGGTCAGTGCAGCGCGGTCGGCTGGCGGGTTCGCCATACAGTTCTCTATATACCGTGGCCACACTAGCGTTCGGAGCGGCCTGGCTGGCGGGCGAGCCGTGTGAACGTGCGCCATATCTCGGGCCGAGGGGCCTGCCGCTGTTGGGCCGAATCTCCTTGGGCAGTTCGTTTCTTTTCTTCTCTTTGCAATTTGCATTGGCAGGGAATACGTCCTTGATGACGTGGTGATGTCTTGCACCACTTTCAGGTAATGTGGGAATTAATGCGTGCTAATTCTGAAAAAGGGCCACTGTGCAGCGGTCTCATCATCATGCAGCATTTTCAATACAACGTCGCGGTACGTTCGAGGGAGGAGTAACACCGGTTCCTTTCCCCCGACACGACGCTGTAGCTTCACGACACCCTGCTCCATTGTCAGATGGTCGAACAACCGAGCCATCGTGCGCAGATTCTTGTTTCTTTTTCTCAATTCCTTCCTTGGAGGGAGGTGACCTGCTTTTAGCCACTTTTGGACCTCACCGAAGACCGGATCGAGCTCTTGCTCACGCCGTAAGATTTCGACGTCTATTCCGCTCGTGGCTTCGTCACGGGTCGTGGCCATGAGTTCGTTGACTTCCTCCTCCTTCTGGTCGACTACTGGCCTGGACAGGGCATCAGCATTTCCATTATCACTGCCCTTTCGGTACAGCACATTAAAGTCATACGTACTCAGCTCGACAGCCCATCTTCCCCGTCGTCCTGTGGCATCCCCGTCGACATTAATCGAGCAGGGGACATTCTTCAGCGGCTTGTGATCGGTCAGCACCGTGAACGATGTTGCGGCCAGGTACTGACGGAAGTGTCTGATTGCCCAAACTATCGCCCACAGTTCTTTGTCATAAGTGGGCCATCGGCGTTCACTCTTGCTTAGTACCTTGCTCGCATAAGCCACCACCTTCTCCTCACCGTCGACCGTCTCAGTCAAAACCGCTCCGACTGCGGAATTCGATGCGTCGGTTGCGAGTTTAAATTCTCCTTTGCATGTCGGCAAAGCCAGAATCGGGGAAGATGTCAGTTTGTCTTTGATGCTTTCGAAGCTTTCGGTTAGCTCCTGGGTCCATTCAATGTCGCCTTTTTTCTCTGCGGCTTCTCTAATGGGTCTCACGAGGTCAGAGTAGTTGGGGACAAATCGGGAGTAATATCCCGCAAGTCCCAGGAAACTTTTCAGATCGTCGGCCTTCTGTGGTTGCGGCCAGTTACGCACCTTGTCGACGTTTCCCGGGTCGGGTTGCACGCCAGCCTTTCCCACCTTGTGTCCAAGGAACACCACCTCATCTCGTGCGAGGCAACATTTTCGGGGTTTTAGCTTCATCTTCGCTGCTCTGATCCTTTCAAAAACTTCCTCCAAGTTCTTCAGATGAGCCTGTTCTGTCTCTCCGAAGACGATGATGTCGTCTATGTAAACGAGACAGCTCTTGGAGTCCACTCCAGCCAAAACCAGCTCCATTAGTCGCTGGAACGTGGCTCCAGCGTTCTTGAGGCCGAAGGGCATGGCTCGGAACTGATGCAGGCCTTTTCCTGTGCTGAAGGCCGTTTTCTCTCGGTCCTCCTCAGCCAGTTCTACCTGCCAGTACCCTGATGCCATGTCGAGTGTGGAGAAAATCTTTGCTCCTGCGAGACTGTCGAGACTTTCGTCGATGCGTGGGAGTGGAACCGGCAAGCTCTGAGTTACTGCGTTCACTGCTCTGAGGTCGACGCAGAACCTGAAGCTGCCGTCTTTTTTCTTGGCCAAAACAATTGGTGAACGCCAGGGACTCGAACTTTCCTCGATTACTCCTTCTTTGAGCATCTTTTCTTTCTGCCGTTCGACTTCCTCCCGGAGTTTCATCGGAATCCTGCGGAGATTCTGGCGTACTGGCGCTGCATCGCCAGTTTCGATACGGTGCTGGAGCACCGTTGTCTTCCCGATATCTGCGTCGTTTTTGCTAAAGATGTCACTGTACCGCGTCACCAGACGTTTCAATGAGGCTTTTCCACCCTCAGACAGGACTGTGGCGTCGATGTGGAGGTTGGAGATGAGTTCATCGAGCGTCCCAGCGCAGGGCTCCGCTGAGGCGGTAGCGGCGCTGGGCACGTCGTACACACCTTCTCCATTTTCCTCGATTGTGAACAGAGTGCCGATCTCAGTGCCAGGTGGGATCGTGACCGCCTGTGTTCCGACGTTGGTTATTTGGACGGGAATCGTCGCCTCTTCAGACACTGACCCGATGATACGGGGAATCCTCCATTCCTGATTGTTTCCCACAGGTAAGGGCTCCATCACCCCCTGCCAGGTGGTCTCACGAGTAATCTTTACGCCACCGTTTGGTATTTCGACCATCATCGGAGCGAGCCGTTTTGATCTGGCGGGTACCGTGATCGCAGTGCATGTAACCACTCGGGATCCATGTGGTCGCAGCTCTGCGTACGTAGGGAGAGGAATCTCCAGGTCACCGATCCTGAAAACTCCCGATCTGTCGTCCAGGATCGTTTTGTGCTGGCAGCAGAAATCTCTTCCCAGCACCACCTGGTAGATTAAACCGGGGATCACCATCATGGTTTGGATGAACTGTCTTGTCTGGACCTGGAACGTGACCTCGGCTTGACTGCTAACAGTTATCTTCTCTCCACCTGCCTGTGTGATGGCTCCAAAAGCCCCTTTACGGAATAATGTTTTGTGGATCGCTGTCTGGGCGAAATCCTGGCTTATCATGGACGCATCGGCGCCTGAGTCGACAAGGGCCCACACCCCTCTTCCTTCAACCTCGATTTTGACTACCGATGCTCGTTTAGGGCTGCTTAGCTCTTTCTCCTCTCTGACTGATGCCCGCCCAGCAGCACCAGTCAACGGTCGTTTCCCTGATGCGTACTCTGCTGTGTTGTGGCTGAAGGCTGGATTCCCGTGGCGTCATTTTGTTTCCAACAGTCGGCAGCCCAGTGTCCTTGTTTCCCACAATTCAGGCATGTCATCCCGAACCTATTGCGTGGGGTGCTCGAATTACCGACGCCACCCGCTGCTACCGGCGTTCTCCAGCATGCAGATATCAAGTGGCCATGCCGTCCGCAGCCCAGACAGCAAACACCTGGCGAGATCGCTCTTGGTGTTGTCCCTGGCTGCGTGCGTCGCTTCACCAGCTGCGGACAGTCGCGCTTGAAGTGGGCGGTATCGCCGCACTGGTAACAAGCGCCCTGTCGGCTGCTGTTTGACGGTTGGTCTCTGATCATCTGAGTCTTTAGCCCGCTCAGCTCGCTCTGAAGCTCTCCTATCATGGTCAGGATTTCTGTTATCTGGTCACCCTCCGAATGCTGGTTTTCTCTGGTAGAAACGATCGCTGCTGCGTCGTGTCCGTAAGACGACCGCATAGCAGTCAGAGTGAGGTCCTTTTCTAACAGTTTTTGAGCGACCTCCTCTGCTTTTTGGAGAGTTGACGCCGTATCGTCGTTATGTAGCTTCTCCTGGAGCTTTAGATCGGCCAGGCCGCACAGAAAATGCTCCAGTGCTATTTTTTCAAGGTCCTTGCTGGACAGTCCCGGGTTTGCAGTGTGTGTGAGCTTACGGACGCGATTGGCGAACGCTTCCGTGTTTTCACCGGGCAGCTGACGCACCTGACGCAGCTCTGCGTGTACCCTACGTGTATCGACGCTGACTCCAAATTTCTTCTGTAGCTCTCCTTTCAGCTTCTCGTAGTTGTTTCTATCATCCCTGTCTAATTTCCCGCAAACGTCCAGCGCAGCGCCATCCAACAAGTCAAGCAAGGCAGCTGCTAGTTTTGTCTCGTCCAAGTCACCAAAACGCGTCTCAAAACGGGAAATCCACGTTTCCCAGTTCTCCTCCTTGCGACCGCTAAATTTTGTTGTGTTGTGAATTCTCATGTATAGTTCGCTCGCCATTTTGGGCAGTGTACGGTCGATGGTTAATTGATATGATCGTATCGTCCAACGATACGGGATGAAATAGCAGAACGTGCTAGTTTGAAAATCGTGTCGTACAACGACCACGTTATGAGGCTATGAGCTGCGAGCGCCCCCAGCGCCTCAATACGCTTTAATATAAACTTAGGTACCTATTGTAATCGACCTGAAATTAACAAAGCTGTGTCGATAACGACTACACCCTCTCCAATTTCAGGTCAATATCTAAAAGCACCTGTATCGAAAATCGACACCATCAGTGCTGTAAAAAGAAGCACATGAGCAAACCCTCTTTTTATGATAGTGGGAGCGTAAATTTGCTTACCTTGACCGCGCCAATGTTAGGTCGAAAGGCAGCGTCTCCATTTGTGATGTATTAGGTCGGGTATCACAACGGCAGCAGCAGCAGCAGCACGCGTGGCGAGCCCCAGGTCCAGAATGACCGCCGCCCCCGGCTGCGGCCGTGACCCCGCGCCGCCGGTGGCAGCGGCGCGCCCAGCGGGAGGCGGTCCGCAGTGGCGCGCCCAGCAGCGCGCCGAGAGGTGGCACCGGGCACACAGTACACTAACACATCCTAACAACTATATAGCTGGTGTCAAAACAACGTTTTTACACATCATGGTCCTACATACATGACTGCATGTTAAAACAGGGCCGTAAAACGTTGCTGTTGCAACACAGGATGCAAATATGAAATTAGTGCTTAACAGAACATGTCTAGGTACGCATTGTACTTACGTACGTACTTACACAATGGTCACGTATGGATGGACTATTTTTAAGTGTCTCTTTGTTTATAAGTCCATTCATAGATAAAATTAACTACCCGACGCGGTACTTCATGTTATCTGTGGTTCATTATGTCACACTAGGAAGGTAACTAAAACTACAGCACGTGATAAAATAAAGAGGAGGTAAGGGAAAATCAATGCTTTGAAACTGTTCAACGGTTGGTTAATATCTGGGGGTTAATATAGCATTTCAGGCGGTGCATCTCCATCAAAATCTCCATAAGCACTAAATGTTCCTCTGCCTTGTGTGTTCCTTACAATGCCAAGCAATGTCGCAAAATACCTGAAGTTTCCCTATGTTCGAGTGCCGAAGCGAGCAAACATTTTAATTCTATTGCTGTTGTTATTGGTTTCAGCTGCTACTCTGTCTATACTATTCATATCTCATATGCATGTCAAAAATGGCACAAAGCCCAAACGGCAAACTGCGGTGCTTGTTCAAGAGTCTCAGTTCATGTTGCGTGACAACAAAACTGGCCGTCTTGTATGGGATATGAAGGAGATGAAACGCCTTCACGGCACCCGACGTCCTGTTCATACCACCAGTCGTATTCCAGCGATGGCAAAAATCGTCCAAAATAAGCGCAGTATGGGTGCTGAGCAAACAAATCAGGTGAAATTTGATAAATATTTCAAGATGGCTGACCCACGTCTGCCCCCACTATCGCCCAGCTGGCTGGCGGAAAGGGAGGCCGTCTTCGAGCAACGCTCTAACCGGATAGCGAACGTGTGCCGCGCCTACGACGTGCGCATCGGACGCGGCAACGTGACCAGCCGGCCCGGCGTCGGGCCCGTGGAGCGCATCAACGGCGACCACTTCGTCTCGGTACCGGCGCTGAACGTGACCGCCTGCCTGCTGGCTAAGGTGGCGTCCACATCACTCCTCTCCACGCTGCTGAGGGTGACGGGGAAGGAGGTGCCGCAGTTGGAAGGTAACCGCACCAGCCTGCACGCCGCGGCCGGCGCGCTGCGGCTGCCACCCTCCCAGCTGGGCGCCATGCTGCACCGGTCGCTGACCGTGCTGCTGGTGCGCCACCCGCTGCGTCGACTGGTCGCCGCCTACCGCGACAAGATCGCCGGCCGACCCAACTGGCCGATGCTGCACCACTTTGAGTTTCTCAAGTTCGGCTCTGCGCCAAAGTCGCAGCTCGGTCGGGAGCTGCGCGACGCGGAGATGCAGGAGCACCGTCGCGAGGCGCTGAGCCGTGACGGTGTGCCCACGTTCGGCGAGTTCCTAGCGGTGGCGCTGCTGGGCGACCGGCCGCTGCGGGACGCCCACTGGGCGCCCTACTGGCGCTACTGCGCCCCCTGCCACGTCCGCTACCGCATGGTCGGCCAGCTGGAGACGGCCGGCGACGACCTGCGCTACCTGTGGCACGCGCTGCGCCTCTACTACTGGGTGCAGATCCCGTGGCTGCACCGCTCGCGGCCCGAGCAGCAGCCAGAGGAGGGCCTGCAGAGCCTGGCCGACACCTACCTGCGGCCGCTCGAGCGGCCCATCATGATGGCCTTCAAACGAGAGTACAAACTCGACTTTGATCTGTTTGGATACGACTGGGCCGGTCTGATGAGGATGTCGGGACACTGTGTCATCGGAGATACAGGATGTGACCTGCTGTAATTGAGCGTTGGTCTTTCGAGATCAATGCTCACCTTGATATACTACGCTTTAGGAATTAAACGTTATCAATCAAGATTGTCTGAATCATAATGATACCTTTCTTCACTGAAAGACTGCGTATGCTTGTGTCGTGTTAATGACTAAGAGTGATCTATGAGAAACATTGTCTGCTGAAAGAATATGAGCCAATGCAATGCAATGTGACGTGTAACCCTAATACAGATACAGATACAGATGTGTATTCACGAATGATCCACAGTACACTGGGGCTTTTCATACTCGCACGTCAGATGGCTCAATGGACAATGGAAGTAGTTTTGATTCGCACAAACATTAGCACATGTACACACACACACACCAGTAAATAAGTTTTGCCGCAATCAGCCGGTTCGATCACAAAAGATTGCCTATCACCGCGCCCTGTACAGATAAGTAATGACGCTCCCTCTGCTGACAGTGCCCCGCGACGCAAGCACGTCATTGTACGCCGTCACACCACTGTAGCAGAGTCGCCTGCGGCCCGCCTCGGTACAGATACGCGGCAAAGTGAGGCGGTCGGCACCCCGCGTCTGGTGCCGGTGCCGCTGACCAGCGGGCCGGCCGATGGTACGAACCAGCGGCGCGGGCAACTGTAGCGTCACGAGTCGGTGCACAGCGATGATGCGGTGGTACAGGTACAGCTCGCGCGCGGTTAGCCAGCCAACATCGTTGATGACATCTGAGACGTGCTGGTGTTTACGCCGTCCACTCAATACACGGGCAGCAAAGTTGACCAACTTCTGAACTCTATGAATCTGGGATTTGTTGCAGCTACCGTATACAGATATGCAATACCGGACGATCGAAAAGACAAGCGCAGTGATCAGTGTTCTCAGGGTGCCAGTGGGGATATCATGCAATTCGCTTGGTTCAAGGCAATCAATATACCGGTGCACTTCGGAACGAGCTGGTCTACATGGGGCTGGTAGGTCATGTTCCTGTCAAAAATCACACCCAAATTTCGCGCCTGGTTTGAGCAGGTAACGGTGGAGCCAACGAAATTTACTTTGATATCGCAGGGGACATCGCTGAGCATTTGAAGTGAACCAAAAATCATGAACTCTGTTTTTTTCAGCGTTAACTTTCATCCCGTGGTCACAAAACCAGTTAAACATACAGTGGAGAGCACTTTCAATCCTGCTAATTAGCAGCGGTAGATCCTGCTTTTTACCGGTCGTCCAGATCTGAGTGTCGTCGGCAAATTGAACGATTCGCACTGTGTCGGGTATGTACCGGGCTTCTCAAAAAAGTTAGACGGATTTCTTTTGCGAATAGAGGACCCCTAACAACATTTAAGCAAAATCAATGCACGTGGAAAAACGGAGAATTTTTCGTAGATTTATATGACACCATAATTTGAGCTTGAAAAATGAAGCCGTGGTCTTAAGAAGTAAAAGCAAAACTCGTGAAATTATGCTTTCCCAGACTAAGTCGGTCGGTTCGACACCACGGAAGATCCGCAAACACTTTAGGGCAAAGAGAGCAACATCTTAAAACAAAATTTTCCACATTATTGACAAGTTTCTGGCTCGAGGAAGTGTTAACAATAGGTTCACGCAATTCAAGGAACACAGCGGCGGCCATAAATCCAATCAAAGGCTCACGGCGAACACCACTCGTGTGAGAGATGCGCTACTCAGACTTTCAATGGTTAGCGATATCGGGTGGCTCTGGCGACGTTTTGGAGGGTTCTGCAATATCAGGATGAGCAGAGATCCGGAAACGCTTAAGATCCAATGGTTCCAGCAAGACGGTGCCACGCCAATACCGCTAAAGAAAACCGGGAGGGGCTGTGGGAGCGCTTCGGGCGGCGCGTGATCTCGAGGTTCGAGACACGCCCGTGATCGGCGAATTCTCCTAACGTAACCCCACCGGACTTTTTCCTATAGGACCACCTCAAGTCCCAGGTGTACTGAAACCACCCAAAAAGTTCCGAAGATCATAAGGATGCAGTGAAGTCAGCGGTGTGCCGTCTGCACCTTTCCGTAGGTCGTGCTGCATCAGAGGTCGCGCTGCGTCGGGCTAAACTGTGCATCGAGCAAAAAGGGAATCATCTCGAACATAACCTCGGCGCGGCTCAGAAAGGCGACTGCCGAGGATAGAAATCCCCTCAAACGAAATGTCTTTGATGAGGCTTTTAGGTGATACCCAATTATGTTTTGTTACACTGATACACCCTTCAATACGTTAGTTATAAAATCGTCTAACTTTTTTGAGAAGCCCGGTATAAGTGCAAATCGTTAGCAAAAACTGACCACAGTATGCAGCTCATGGAACCTCCCTGATACACCCCGACGGAGTTTTCTTTCAGTCCATCTGGTGACAGTTCCTTCACCATTAGAAACCTGAACCTGTTGAGTGTGAACTTTCAAATAGTCAGAGAGCCAAAAATGATCAATGCCATACAATTCTAACTTTTCGATTAGCCTATCATGTGGTACCATGTCAAAACATTTGGATAAGTCAACCATAGCCCAGAGCGTAATTTCTCCACAGTCCATGGCACGAAGTATGTCATCAGACACCACATGCAGCGCCGTCTCACACGAGTAGTGCCTCCGATAGCCGTGCTGAGCGTCGCTGAGCAGGTGGTGGGACTCCAGATAGTCGGTGAGTTGCAGCTGCACCGCTCTCTCGGTTATCTTCGTGATGGCTGGGAGCATGGATATTGGGCGCGTTTGGGCAGGGTCGGATACAACCGACTTCCCTTTTGGAATGGGGGTGATAATTGCGTGCTTCCACGCCGCCGGCACGCGGCCAGATGTCACTGGCGTTGACTAAATCCAGCAGGATATGACTAAAACCTGGAAAAAATGTTCGAATTATTTTCGAACTGAGTCCGTCGCTACTCTCAAAGGATGATGACGTCATGGCCTGAACAATCACCCACAACGATACAATCACCCACAACGAAATATATTATTTAATAATAAATATAATATTTAGCGAAGTGCTGTCTAGATGTATGCCAGTTTGTAATTAGCCTGCTCATTTGTTTGACGGCACTTTTTGCATTTGGTTTCCTTCTTTTCGTAGGCCACCAAAGCCTAGCTTTTAGTGTTTCGAAACCAGCCTTCGTCACTCGTCAGTGTACCTATATCTCTTGCCAGAGTTCGCTTGTGGTTCGGTAATGCAACGTTTCAACTGTGTCATCGGTTTAGTAAAGTTCTTGTGGTATACTCTGTCACATCTTTTCAGCTGATTTGTCATCTGCAAACACCATGTTTGAGATTTGAGCTCAGTTAACGGTTTGGTCCATAAAGGGCGAAACCGCTAAAATAGACGGATTTTGCCGAAACATTCTGCAATCACTTTACGCAAACAATGTATGACATTTTTGGCTACCATCGTGTTTGTCATACCGAGACGCGTTGAACCAACTATAATTTGACCTTCAAAGGTCACCAAAAAATGTACCCTTAGATCATGTGATGACCCCTGGTGACCTGAAGTTTGGTCTGACCTTAGAAATGTCCGAAGTTTTTCAGTCATTATTTTTGACGCTCTTTCGAATGCCGCTTAGCGCGTGTCGCTACGTGGCCCGGGAGCCGAGTTAGACGAGGGCGTGAGCCCCCCCCCCAGCACGACACAGAAAAATCACATCAGACCACCAGCACGGCGCGGATTAATCGGTCATCGGTCCATATTGTGAAGCTGAATACAAATTACATGTTCTTTCATCGCTCTACCATAGCTACATAGATTAAAAGTTATTCTAAAACAAATTGTTGGTGAGCTTTCATGCTTTTATTGTAACTACCTGGTGACCTAGCCTTAGGTGATCTATGTATATTAATATTTTTTAAAATTAATATTAGCCGTTTTCACGACGGCCATCTGGTACACATTTGGTGCAGATTAAGTGCAAATTTGGTCAAATTGGGTTCATTGTACTCCTTAGAAGTTGTTTGGCTTGGGTTGCACATATGCTTCTAGTCTAGATCTCATTTGTCAAATTACCTTTAATTTGAAGAAGATGATATCTGAAAATTATCAGATAGTATCTTCCATTAAAACCATTTATAGGTAAACATGACACACTAAATCGGAAAAATGCACCTGTGACCCCTCTGTGTGCCCCTGAGGTCATCTCAGGTCATGAACGGTCACCAGCAGTTTTTTGGCTATAACTTTTGGATAAAGACGTGCTAGAGCGATTAAAACACGTCAGATGTATTCAGCTCGACGATACGGATCGGCTGATATGCAACATGACCCTTTCCGGTCAGGTCATGACCTTAACCTGAGGTCAAATTTTCAAAATTACCATTCAAGGTCAACAAATAGTTCATTCGACGCGTCTCGACGAGAGAAACACGATGCTGCCAAAAATAATGTCGTGGCTCTCTTGAGACAAAAGTTATTGACGAAAACCCATTTTCGTGAAAACTGCTATTTTTGCAGTTTTTGCCCTCTGAGTCTGAAGGCTGAACCGTTGACCTGAGGTAAAATCTGAGAATAATATTCAGAAAGTTCTGTAAAAGGGCTATCGAATGCGATTTTCCGCGGCGCTGTAGCTCTATTGGTTCCCGAGTTAGCCGTTGGCAGTTTCCAAAATTGTTGAATTGACCTACATTTGACCTTTGATGACCTGGCGACCTGACCTTTGACCTGACCCAAAAATGGACCGAAGTGTTTCTGTCATTATCTTCGACGCTCTTTCGAATGCCGCTTACTGCGCGTCGCTACGTGGCCCAGGAGCCGAGTTAGATGGGTTGGGGGGGGGGGGAGTGTGCAGACACCCCCGCCCCCGGCCCGGCGCGGAAGTCGCGGAGCACCGGCCCGGCGCGGGTTAACATCGGCATAATGATAACAATTATTATTATTGCATGCATATTTCTAATTTTTTTCTGTTAGGTTCGCCCTGGTGCGCCACAGAATTCCGACCCACCTCGATAGACAGGCCGACCAGCCTCGCAAACTGTCTCCCCAAGGACCGTTTGCGTTAGGGGCTAGGTACTCAGTCGGATAAAGGCGACTGTTCAGCGTTGGATAGGGGTGTTGGGGGGTTGAGGCGTAGATGAGAAGCTGCGCTCCTGGTAATGAGCCAGAGGACTCGGAGGATAAAATATGTTTGATATAATAAATATCTCTCACGCAAAACTATAATCCACTAGCTAGCACATGGAGGCACAGTTGACAGAGCTGCTGCCACCTGGGGTCTTTAGAGACAGAAGTCACTTGGCTGTGCTGCCACCTGGGAGGAGAGGCAGAAGTGTTAGCAAGTCGAGTTATATTATGTCACGTGAAAATACCTACATACAACAAAAGTAGATGGGTGCCATCATATCTGTACACGCATATCTTCCTTTGAGCAGATGACTAGCAACAAATAGCGTCACAACTCTATGATTTTTGTCATGCAAATTTTGCGAGCATCTTGTTTGGTGTATGTGTATACTGTGTAGGTATAGGTATGCGTGGGTAAGCGATATATTGTTATTATTATTATTATTATTATTAATATCATCATAATTATTCTTGTATTATGGCCTCCATACAACAATGACTGTTCCAATCACACAGTCATGATCACAAAGTGCTAAAGTGACAGGCACACATAACATCGCATCTTCATAGCAAAGTTCATGACGAGCACCTGCACAATAAACACAACGTAATCCCAAACCACTTTTTCTCAGTAACTACTGGCAGTACAGATGACTAGTTTTCAGAGTCACTGGAGCCCTGTTCCAGTGAGACACAGCGCGGAAATCAAAGAAACCTCGCTCTTTTTCTGTATGTACGCGCGGGACCTGAAGTAGGCTCGCGCGAGTCGTACGTGTGACTCCCGGTAACATCATGACGATAACACAGTCTATCGCGAAGACACTTTGGCGCCTGACAGTTTTGCAAAATTTTATGAACCATCGCCAGGTCACTCTCAATGACAAGTTAAAAGAATCATTTCTATGTATGTAGAAACAGTACACACATGTACTATTTCTTTATTTGATCATAAACTATGTTTTTTTTTTCAGATTGATACCTACCTACGTATCCCATCTCAATTGCGAATATATGTTAACTGTTAACTATATATATAAACTATATATACCATCCCGAAAAATGATATTGCTTAGGTTTGCAGTGCGCCTAACCATAGAGAAGAGACAGAGAAAAAGGACTTCAGAATTTTGGTAATTTTGGCAGTCATTATCGTATCGTTCTATAAGTGTGCCGACTGTCTAGATAAGCGCGACCCACAATCTGCCGCCGATCATTTTTCCGTTGGCTGTACAACACTCTGACTAAGAAGTAGGCATGGAAACGCTGAGCGCGTGCTGGGCGCGGCGTCGGAAGTCGACCAACTTATCCTCCAACCGAGTACAAAACCCGAGCCGGTGCCGAGCGGGCGCCATTCGCACCTGAGGTGTCGTGTCGTGTCCGTGTCATCCTCCGCCAACCGACCGACTCGACATGTCGCCCGCCGCCACCCTGCTGGTCCTGAGTCTGGCCGCGGCCGCCACCGCGCAGCTGGGCATCAACAGCCTGGGCGGCTTCCAGTCCGGCCTGGGCGGCAGCGCATTCGGCTTCGGCGGCTCGAGCCCGTTCCTGCGCGGCGGGGCGTTCGGCGGCTCGCCGTTCTCCGGTGTCGGCGTGTCGCCGTTCTCGGCCGGCCTCGGCAGGTCGGCGTTCGGCGGCGGCTCGCTGCTCGGCGCCGGCGGGTTCCGCGGCTCTCCTCTGGGCGGCGGCCTGTTCAGCCCGCAGCGCATCGGGTCGCCGTTCGGAGTCGGCGGTTTCAACGGCCTCAACGCCCTCGGTGGCGGCGGCTTCTCCTCCTTCGGCTAGAGGTCTAGCAGACGGGACCGGTAGGCGGAGAGCCAGCAGCCTTCTATGTCGCGGTACGGGGCTGCTCCGCCGACGCCGGTAAGCCGACAGGTCACCAAGATCGACCTCATCTGAGCGCGACAAGGCATGGAGAACGGATGTGTAAGCGGTGCACGGGCACGCGCTCCTTGTCACATGGAGCACCTAAGGTTTGAATGGCTTCGATTTGTTAGTAATACATTGAATGCCCTGGATAGTGTGTTTGTGAGGATTCCCGGATGAAAAGTCAAAACGGTTTGTGAGGAGGTGCTTGACGACATATGCATTAGTGATTAGAGTGACCGTTGACGGTCTGTTTTAGCGAAGGTCTTGTTAACCCGCGTCGGGCCGGTGCTCCGAGATTCCGCGCCCGGCCGGACACCCCCTTCTAACTCGGCTCCTGGGCCACGTAGCGACACGCGGTTAGCGGCGATTGAAAGAACGTCCAAAACAAGGACGAAAACACTTTGGCCATTTTTTTTGGTTCAGGTCAAAGGTCAGGTCACCAGAGGTCACCAAAGGTAAAATGTTGACTATTTCAACATTTTGGAAACTGCCGACGGCTATCTCGGGAACCGATAGAGCTACAGCGCCGCGGAAAAGCGCATTCGATAGCCCTTTTACAGACCTTTCTGATTATTGTCCTCATATTTGACCTCAGGTCAACGGTTTAGCCTCCAGAGGGCAAAAACAAAAAAAAAAATCGTTTTTACGAAAAGCGTTTTTTCGGCAATAACTTTTGACTCAAAAGAGCCATGACATTACTTTTGCCAGCATCGTGTTCCTCTCGTCAAGACGCGTCGAATGAACTTTAATTTGACCTTGAAAGGTCAACTTGAAAAGTTGACCTCAGGTCAAGGTCATTACCTGACCGGAAAAGGTCATGATGCATATCAGTCGATCCGCAACGTCGAGCCGAACACATCTAAGGCGTTTCATCGCTCTAGCGTGCCTATCTCAGCAGTTATTAGCAAAAAAATGTTAGATACCATTCGTGACCTGAGATGATATCAGGGAGGATTCACGGATACCTTTTCACGGTTAAGTGTGTCATGTTAACTTGTAATTCGGTGTTCGAAAGAGTTTAGAATGACGCTCGTCTAAAAGAGGCGCCTTTCAATTTTCTCCCATTGACTCATAATGGAGATAACGCATAATTGACCTGACCTTAGGTCACTGATATCAAAATTTCGAGATGAACTTGTTGTAGATACTCTCATCTTTATCAATTGCTGAAAGTTTTAAAGCGATTGGTCACTCGGTGTAGCTATGGCAGACATTGAAACTTTTTTATCAGGTGAGGTCACTTGACTTGACCTGATGACCTGACATTGAGTGACCACTGACCATGGTCTGAAATTTTCATAGCATGTGCAGAGAAGGTGTATGACATTTTTTTAGAAAACGGCAGTGTAGAGCTCCGACCTTTCTGAGGTATTTGCAAAAAAAAAAAAACGCGGGGGTCGTTTTGCATGAACATGCTGCCAGACCTCTCGTGGGCTACCTTTTACCTTATAGAGCAGACCCCTTGAAATGCATAAGCAATACTCTTTTTGCAATCACCTTTTATGCATTATTTGTATGAAAATATTGCAATTCTATTGAAACTCACCGAATTAGCTCAATCACAATTGAGACTAAAAGGTCATCTTGAAAAACAGACCTGAGGGGAAGGTCATGGTTTGACCGGATATTGACCTGTACACATATCGCCATTATAAGTACTAGTGATGTCAATTGCAGAAAATTAGGATACCGATACCAAACCAAATACCAACCAAACTGCATGGGAGAATACCGAAATCAAATCAACTTGAGAATACCAGGGCAATACCAACTTTTTACCAAATTCACAGCCTCTTATACATTAGCGAGGATTCGTAATAACAACAAAATATCAAAAGATTTGGGATTGAAATAGGTACCAAATACCAAGTTGGTATCGGTTTGGTATTGGTATACCGAAATGCTGGTATCCGATTGACATCTCTAATAAGTAGGTACATAGCTTGAAAAGTCGTCTAAGTAGGTAGGTCTAACATTACGCATTTATTAGGTTGTGATGTTGCTTGTTGACCTCTAAGTGACCTTAACGTAGAACTTTTACAACCCGTTCAGAAAAGATGTACTGCAAGGTTTGCCGAAAACGGTGGCGCATTCTTTGTCGCTGAAGCTGTCATACCTCTGTGCATTCCGTCGACACAGCACGTATACATTATCGCCAGCTAAGGCACGGGAGAATGTAACCAAACTAATGATATGGATGAATTTACAGTGGTCTCACCCAAGCGGCATTCATGATATGCCAAATACCCCAAACCTCTTGCAGTCATGGACCCGGGAACCTCATCACTTTCATAAGCGAACTCTCACACACCCAAAATGGTGACCTGCCGAAGCTGGACAGTAAATGCTAATTAGTAGTCAATAGCTGCCTTTTAACAACAATGATTTAACCCTCGCATGTGTAGGGGTGGGGGGGGGGGGGGTCGGATGGACTCCCCATGGTTTTTCGCAAATATCTCACGCAAAAAGCGGCCGATCGCGACGAAACTTTTAGTACCCTCGAGTTGAAATTTTACACCTACTCTAAAAATTTCATGACCTTGATCCAAGTGACCTTTGACCTGTGACCTATTTCTCGAGGCCATGCTTGGCCGGAATCGCGATTCGGCGTATGTGACTCGCATTAGCCGCGCGTTTGCAGGCTTTTCGTAGTTTCAAACGTTCAAACATATGATTTGATGTTGCTCCCATGTGTAAGGGTGGATGTCAAGGTCACGTGAAGGTCAGATCAGGTCATTGGCCTTTGGTGACCTCGGTTCACTTTTTAGAGTTTTACATGTTTCTAGGCTAGTTTTTTGAGCTGAATTCGAATTTAGCAACCATTTGAACCTTTACGAAGTAGTTTTGGTGCCTTCGTAACATGTTACGAAGCTGTCAGAGGTGGTTGACACGTACTACGAATACCCGTCACGACCCCTACTGGTTGACCTGACCTGACCTACCTGAGCTGAACTAGTCTAAATGCTTAAAGACAACATCTGTGATCAAAACTAACACGATATTCGTGACTAGTACCCCGAAAAACATTATAGCAGCCACACTTTACGACTTTCTAACAGGTCCCGATTTTTCCGAGTTTTGGGTCATTGAACTGACCTTGAAGGTCAACCGATGACCTAGGACCTTAAAATCGGGTATCATCGGCTTCCTCTCGTGACGGGCAGCACGCTCGTTTTTTCCGCGAAGCTCTAGCTCAATCAGGAGCCAAACGCGAGGGGGGCGTGTGCCAACGCGACCCTTGTGCCGTTGAAGGACGCAAAATGGCCTGTGCCGGCGAGGGTTAACCCTCGCCGGCCGAGGGGGGGGGGCGGGTGCCGCCCCCCCCCCATAGGGTTTTTTCGCGATAGCTCCGAACACGCTGGCGATAGAGAGCTGAAACTTGGCATACCTGACCTTTGATCCAAGCCGCATCTTTTGACACCAACCGCATTTTTGGGTCAGGTCAGGTCACTGACCTATGACGTCATAAGTGAACCTCTGCACGGTCTTCAGATGTCGCAACTTCGCAACGCCCTCACTGCCAGAGGAGATGTCACAGGGAAATGAAACTTGCAGGATCTAGTATCCATTATGAGTCCCACAACTTTTATATCTCGGATTTTTCCCAAAGGTCATATGAGGTCAGGTCATTTTCGTGACCTCACCATTATAAGTCAATGGGGAAAAATGAAAACTGCTATTCTGGCGCCGGGAACGATCTCCAACTATCTCAAGCACACAGAATCGTGATTTGATGCACTCCTTGCAAGGTTAGATGCGTCACTTTTGCAATGTTGACCTTGCGTGACGTCATTTATGACGTCATCATGGTCATATTAGTTTTTCGTCAATAACTCTTGATCATATTGAGCTAGCGAGTCGGAAAAGCCACCAATGGACTCAGGAAGACCTGCCGAATCGAATGATATGCGACATGACCTCTTTCGACCAACTTCGTGACCTGGGGGTGCTGACCTGACCTTGACCTGAGGTCAACACCCCAAGTTGACCTGACCCGGACAAAAAGTATACCATTCGACGCGCCTGAGCGAGACGAACATGATGCTGCCAAAATCGGCGCTCTGCGGCCGTTTTTTGCGAAGTTATTCACCAAAAACTGAACCGTACCTTGGGGCACTTGACCTGACCTCAGAGGTCACCGGTTGACCTAGGACCTTAAAATCGGGTACCAATCTCTGCGTCTCGTAACGGCGCACACGCTCGTTTTTTCCGCGACGCGCTAGCTCCACCAGGGGCGAAACGGCGAGGGGGGGTCGTACCCGCCCCCCCCCCCTCGGCCGGCGCGTATGTAGAAAACCAATAGGTCCGGCGAGGGTTAAGTTCTTGAATATTTTCAAATTTGAAAAGCATTACCGACCCGATGATGTGTTGTGCTAATTTTTTACCATAATTACAAAGTAGTTTTTTTCAATAAAAAACAAATTCGCAATATTTGCACATTGTTTACATACATTTAATTAGGACCTTCGACTCGGCCGGTCTCCCATTTATGTTTACCGTTCGCTGTGTGTCGGTCACCTGCTTCGCGTCAATCAGCCACCCTCACCCGGAGTGACGGGTCGCGGCGGGCCGGTTCGGGCGCCGTGCGCAGCTCTAAAGAACCGCGCCGGCGCCGGGCGCAGCTCCGGCGGCCGCTCCGGTCCGGTCACCGCGCCTTGTGACCTTTGGCGCTGGCTGGCCGGCCGGCGCTGCTGGCAGGAATAGCAGCGGCGGCGGCGGCGGCGGCGGCGCTGCGGCGGCCGGCAGTCGGTCGGCGGTCGGCGACGTGCCCGGGCGCGGGACGGTGACGGCGGCGAGCGCCACGCACCGACGCACGGACACTCGCTGCACGCGTGCATACACAGCCGGCGCCCATGTCGACGCGAGTGCAGCCGGTGTCGGCGGCCGCCGGCGGGATGAAGAGCAAGGCGCCGCCG